GCGTGTAAAGGTTTTTTTTTTCTTTCAATTATGTGATATCAACTTTAAATGAAATACTAATTTTTGAAAGAAAAAGATTATTTACATAATATCATGCATAAACATTGAGACTTGTGTAAATTCATAAACATTGAGACTTGTGTAAATTCTTACTTTAATTTTTTAAAAGTTTGACAATATTAATAATTACGAAGACAGTGTATCAAAATTAAATTTACATGCATGTTCTTTTTCACAAACAAAATTATTTTTCATTAATATATCATTTGGTTTTTCTTTTTCAGAGTCATTGTACTATATAAATGTAAAAGAGAGAATAATTGTATATATTATATCATATACATTTAATCTCTTCCTTTCAAGAGACATCACACTCCTTTTCGAAAGAATTTAAACCAAATTTAAAACATTAAATTATTCAGTCTCATGACAACATAACTTAAGGATGTACAATTGGAGTCACCCCCACATTGTGTTCTCCAAAAATCAGATTTGTTGCATTGGAGTGATTGTTAATTACAATAATATCATGATCTCACTGAATCCTTGGTGCCCACCCATGATAATAATTTTTGCCAAAACAAAAATATCTAGCAATTATATGATAAAATTAGAGGATTTCTTAATGCACCCTAATGAGCCGATCTCGATGGATCTCCTGGAGCACCATGCACCATGTACGGATGTGACACCCTAAAGAACCATCTGATGTACCCTTTGACATAGCTTCAATCGCTCATAGTTATGGTAGCTCGTGCCTCCTCTGGTACTAGATGATTCTCATAATCATCAAATATCTTCTCTATCTTTCTACGTGTCAAGGCAGAAGGAGCAGAGATAACAGGGTGGCTGAGGATGGTCTGAGTGTACCCAAACTACTACTTGACGCGCTCGGGTAGGTGAGGAGCAGTGAGACATGATCCACAGACCAACCATCTAGAGTATAGCACTATCTCATCAAATGGTCGCGTCTGACGGTGATTAACATAGTTGTTGAAGTGCATATCCTTAGCAACCAAACGGTCAAGATAGACTATATAAGGCTCGGTCATTTGGTTCCTTCTGAGCGGGATAAAAGCAGTAGCATGCAACATTTCCTTAGTGTACTCAGGCACACTCGCCCAACCAGATATGTGTGAAAAATGCTGGAGGGTTCAAGCCTGAAATGAAAAGTTTATAACACACGAATCATCAGTAATGGCTTTGCAAATAAGAAATTAAAATTAAAATAAAAACATTCAAAGACCAATAATTATTACTATCAGTAGTGTCACGCTGCCCTGTAACCTGTTTTATCTTCCACATATAACCCTCTCTCAACTTTGAATACAAGTAGACCAGGCAAGCCGTATCCCAGTTGTACTCATGGATCTGCTTGAAATTCAAAAAGTATCGTAGGTAGACGATGTTAGTATAAGTGACACTCTTATCCACAAAAATCATAGTGCCAACAAAAAAAGAAGTATGCTCCCAGTACATGTGATCTTTAGACCGCCACCTACTCATCATCACCATGAGCCTGCTCTGCTCTGTGGATCTCAGCCACATAGATCTTCCTCAGGAACTCAAATTTAGCACGAACACCCATGATCTTATCCACCTCCTTCATCGCCTCCCCTGGGTCAGCCCCCAGATGCTCTACCATCATCTCGGCTGCCTTGTCTTTGGTAATTCTCCCATGATCGAGGAATTTCCCCCTGATCGAAAGATATAACAAACACGAGACATCGTGGAGTGTGATAGACATCTCACCATACGGGAGATGAAATGACGAGGTCTCCGAGTGCCATCTCTTCACGAATGTATTAAATATTATGTGGTTGACTAGAGTGTAACTAGTCATGCACAAGTCTTTCAGGTCAAATAAGGATAAAATCAACTAAAACCAATCCGCCTCCTAAAATTTGTCAAAAATAATCAATGTTAGAAATTATCAATGTCAACAATTAAAATTAATGCAAAAAAATAAAATAAAGAATCTAACTAATGCTACCTCTCCGTCCCAGATATGTCTGGCAGTATGGTATGGATACAAAAGCAGTAATGACAAATCAAATGGACCTCCTCCAAAAATCTCTGGCTCGACATCTGCAGCAACCTCACTCTCCGGAGATAGCACTCGATCAAAAATATCATCAGTAAGAGGTGTGATTAAATCAGCAACATTATCCGTAGAAGGTGGCACTGGTGAATCCTGACGCCTGCGGGAGGATGGGGGAAGTGATGTGTCAGATGGTGAATCTTGTTTCCTACAGAAAGAAGAAGGTGGAATGACCTGAGGAGAAGCATGAACCCCAAACTAGACGACTCTGTCTAACTATAGGGACCTGGAGCCTCAGGAATCTACTGGCTCTTCTTCTGCCGAATAGATGTGTGCTAAGCAACCTTGCCATGTCTCATCTGTCATGGCTGTCAGCTATTATCCATGTAAGTTAAAGTAAGACATACCATTAGTGCACACAAACAACACACAAGCAAGAAAATTAAATATATATTGCAGGAAATTCTGGAGATGCATCTTCGGAAGCACCAGGAAAGCAAAACGTTGAAAAATTATGGAGATGTATCTCCGAAATTTCCTGCAGAAAATTAAACGTTGAAATATTTCAGAGATGTATCTTCGAAATATTCTGCAACTCAGAATAGCGTTAATGGCGTAACTTACCACATGCAAGGTCAAAACTTTTTTTTTTTCTGATCACCATTTTTAGCCAACGAACAACAAATACACTACGTCTAAACTATGATAGATGTGATTTCTACTTAGTTCTAACTCTAAACATTGATTTCTACTCATTTACACAAAAATTAAAACAGTTATCAAAAACTCTAAAACCTTACTTGAAATTGATATTTTTTATGAAGTTGGATGATGTTATAGATGAATATTGATGTTCCTTTGAGCCTTGTTTGATGAAAATTGATTTGGTGTAGAGTAAGGTATTGAAAGAGTTTTAAATTGAGGTTGACGAAATGTAAAATGAGGAAGGAGAAGAGTCTGACGTCACTTATGCTCCAAAATATTTCGGAGATGCATCTCCGAAATATTTAACATTAACTTACATTTGGATGCGTCCAGAGATGCATATCCAAGGGATATTTGTGGAGATTCACATGGTGCGGTAGAAAGACTTACATTGTGTTTGGACGAAGCATTTTAATGAGGGAAAATATTTTTTTGAAGAAATTTAAAATTACTTGATCAAAATCCATTGTTTGAATAAAAAATATAGATAATTGTTAAAATGATGTAAATTTATGAAGTATTTTATTCAAGTTATAAATTTAAGGAATTTCAAATGACACTAGAAAGTTAAAATTTTGAAAATTCTCCCTCACTCTATATAATGCAAATGTTAAATTGTTTATTATTATTTTTAAATTTTGCATGATGGTCATCATATTTTACGAAAATTTCAAATTCACTCCTAAAATTTTCAAAAAATTGCATATAAGCCCCTAATAATTTTCAAAATTTATAAATTGGTCCTTTAAAATTTTTAAAAAATGTAAATTGATCCCTATTTTTTATATTTTAAATTTGACCCAAAAGTTTTAAATTTTATTAAAAATGACAAAAAAAAAATTAACATGAATCATTTTAATACTTTATCAAAACAAAAGAATTTAAAATTGAATGGATTTCCATTGAATCATTTGAATTGTCTAGAATTTTGAATTTCTTAAAAATTATAAATTATCCCATCCAAACACACTTTTAGGGTGCCATAAAAAATTCTCTAAAATTAAATATTATATCATTTTTAAAATAGAATTAATTTTTGTTTTTATTTATTATAACATCTAATTATAATTAAAAAAATTAAAGGGTTAAACATACAACATCCTGTAATATTTGTTTTGATTGGGATAAACCAATAAAAAATATTATAGAAATAACTTTGATGCTTAGGAGACAAAAGACATAAAGTTTAACATTTTAAGAGATTAAAAAAAATTATAGTGGAGAAATCGAAACTTGTTTAGCCATACTAATACTAATATATAAAAGCAAAACATAGATTTGGTGTAGTCTTTTTTTTTTCAAATATATCTTTTTTAGTTTTTATTTTAAATCATTTTTTTAACAAATGACGATTATATGACGGTTTATCATTTTTCATACCATTATTTTTTACTATTTTATAAATAATTTAAAATAAAAATAAATAAAATAAAAAATACAATTTATATTTTACGCCTATAAATATTAAAAAAAGCGGACAGACGAACACGTCCCCGTCTGGATGCTAGTATTGTTTAACCCAAAATTAAATATCTAGCAAGTATATCTAACCGTTAAATATTATACCATCATTTTTTAAATTAGTATTTTTTAATAAAAATTAAATTTTAAATCGATTTTATCTATTACTAGCATCCAGACGAGCACATGCGTCTGTCCGCTTTTTATAATACTCACGCGTGTAAAATATAAATTATATTATTATTTTTAATTAATTTTTATTTTATTATTTATTTATTTTTAAATAATAGTAATAGATAATGGTATAAAAGATAATATATTATCAGATAACCATCCTTTGTTAAAAAAAGATGTTAAGATTTAAAATAAAAATTGAAAAAGATATATTTAGAAGAAAAAAAAAATACACCAAAATTATGTTTTTCCTTTACATATGTATAGATATATGTATAGATAACCATCATTTGTTAAAAAAAATACTAAAATTTAAAATAAAAACTGAAAAAGAGATATTTAAAAGAAAAAAAAAACTTTTTAGTTTGGTATAGATTTCTCAAAATCAAACCCAACGGCTTTTCCGTGAAAAATAACAAACGGCTCCTCCAAATTTTTTTCCTTTTAATATAGGTATAGATTTCTCAAAATCAAACCCAACGGCTTTTCCGTGAAAAATAACAAACGGCTCCTCCAATTTTTCAATTTGAAACTTTTAACATTTAGTTTCACTTTCTAATTCTCAGCGATTCGTGTTTTCCAGTAACCACTGATTTTCATCATCAACAACAACAACACAATGTCTCTCCCTCCTGAAATCGACGATTTCATCAAACTAGCCATAGATCACTCTTTAGGGCTTCCAGTCTCTTCCCAAACCCTCGACATCAAGCTTCGCGCCGCCAAACAATCAGATCAGTTACTCCGTGATCAGAACGCATCACTACTTAATAAATTGAAAGAAAAAGATGAACTCATCGAACAAGCCAAGGTTCGTTTCCGATACTTCTTTTTTTTTTTCTTCAATAATTAGTTACTGTCATTTGATTTTCAATTTCTTTTTGATTTTTGAATATGAATAGTATGAAGCTTGTTTGAGTGCTCAAGCGATTAAGAAATTCGTTGAGGAGAATCAGAAATTAGCAGTGGAGTGTGAGAATCTTGTGGAGCATTGTCAAAAACTGGAGAAGGAATTTGTGCTGTATGAGAAGGATAGGGAAGCGTTGATTAATTTTCAGAATGAAGCTGAGGAACGAGCGAGGGAGGCGTGGTTGCTAGTTGAAGAGTTGGAACGAGATTTGAACGTTTATGAGATGAAGATGAAAGAATGCCAGGAAGAGAATGAATCGGTATGAATATGGATCTTTTTGTTTTCTTTGATTCTTTTCTGTTTTTGAAGTGCTTATTTTGAAATTTTAATTGATTAATAGGGAATTATTTAATTAGGTTATTAATTGTTTTGCTTTGAAGGTTTTTATATGGTTTTAGGCTTTTGTTTTCATGAAGATTTTGTGATTACCTAATTAATCAATTGGTGAATTGTAGCTATTTAAAACATACATTAAATGTTGAGACATGAGAAACTTATCTTTCGTGTGAGATACAGTTAATGGTTTAGAACTTTTTAATTGATTTTTGTTAGTATTTTAATATATAAATGCTTGTTTAGGAAAGGGTTTTAAGGGAAGCGGTTATGATAAAACCTTACCTTATTTTGGGATATGAGGGGAAAGGAGTGTGGGTTTTTTATATGCTCTACACAAAAAGCCTCCTTTACTTCCTATTTTAAAGTTTTTCCATGTTAGGAGTTCTTAAGTACAAGAAAATATAACAAGCTGACAATACAAGAAAAGGTGAATAAGAATGAATTAGTATATGATGGTAGTAGCATCTTCCCATGTAGCTTCTTCCGCCGTTTTTCCTTTCCATTGAACTAACCTGCAAGAAGTTATCCCCTCAGTTCTGAACGGGGTGACAATCCAACACAGTCTTAGGTCCATTCATATTTGTGTTGTCGCTTGCCATGTATGCAAGCAGCTCCTCTTCGTCATATACTCTCCAACAGCCTTCCTCGATATCGAAAAATGGAATACCTGATGGACCTTAGAAAATCCATATGTACCTTTAGCCTATACGCCATTGTTTGGCAATGATTTAGGTTACTGCAGATTATTGGTGATGTGTCCATAACTTGACGAAATCCCACTCCCCACTTTAAAACTCGTTTCACTCCTTTTCATGTCGTCCTGAGAGTTAATGCATTACTGTGCACACCGTAAATGCACATGTAATTGTTTAATAGCTTCATCAAGGTCTAGTAACTCCCACTGCATCACTTTTACCCTTGTTTCACTTTGTATCTACTGTGTTACGACCGGTGGTTTGCATCCATATATTGTCTCAAAAGGAGTTTTCCTTGTGAAAGCATGATTTGTCGTATTGAAACAATATTCAGTCAGCCCAATGAACACATGAGACTCAAGTCTTGGGCTTATCTGCAATAAAGCACCTCGGATATGTCTCAAAGCATGAGGTCACCACTTTCACTTGCCCATCCGACTTGGGATGATAAGCAGATCTTTATCACTTACAATGGATGACGTAGTTCCATGTAGGCGAACCACTTCTTTTGTAAAAACCTCTGCTACTGTTCTGCCTGAGTATGGTTTAAGAGGGATAAAATGGGAGTACTTGGACAATCTATCCACCACTACTAAGATAACCTCATCCTTTTTTATTAGGGTGGCGGCTGTAACAATCCCCCTGGTGACACAGTCAAGTCCTTCTGTATTTGCCAAAAATGACACGCCTTTACGAAATCTTTGACTGTACTTTTCATTCCCAACCAATTAAATAAATGCTGCCAACCTCCTGTGGGTCTGCTAGAACCTCGAATCTCCACTTTGAGGTGCGGTGTGGAGTTCCCTTAAGTGGATCAGTATGAAAGTGTACTTACTAGACACCACCATCCGCCCCTCACAGTACAAAACCCCCTGTTTTTAGGTGAAACCGGCCTTTGACGCAGCATCTTTCTGCAAGGCTGCGATGATTGCTCCTAATTTTTCATCACTTTAAACTTTCTCACTATTGTTTCTGATCTTCTCATACCGAGTAGGTGACCAAACTCTGAAAAGTTCTCTACCCTCTGCCACACCGCACAGCACATCAGCCCCCTTTGTTCTCTCTCCTCAGTTTGTGGTGAATCTCAAAATTATGCCAAGTAGTTTGTCAACCCATTTTTGTTACTCCATTTGTTACATTCCTCTGTTTAAGGTTTTTCTAGTCAGTGGACACCACAAAGCGTCTTCCTAATAGATAGAGCCTCCAATGTTGGATAAAAAACACCACTGTCATCAACTCTTTTTTGTAAGCCGATTTGGTAAGTTCCTTATCCCCAACACCTTGCTAAAGTATGCATTAGGCCTCCCGAGAAATCACATTGAATTAGGAATTATGTTGGGATTCGGCAGCGTAAGTACCGGACACACCCATGTACCATAACATTTGCTCTAGATACATTGCAATGCCACCATTTGTTCCAGTTTCTCTCCTAAACCTTACAAAGTCACCCATCTTTGACCACCATGTTCGTTCTATGTGAACTTTTTGAGAGCTTAGTTGATTGAACTCTAATATACAAAACAAGCCAGTGTTAGATTTTGCAGTACATTTACTCAGCTTGTTATGCAATAGGAAAGTTGTTTCTCACCATTCTTGAGTAAACATGCTTATCCTCATTTGGATTTGGAGTATTTTAATCGCTAAACATTTTTATTTTATCTGCAACGCATTTCATCTAACATGCTTCATAATCTCTAATTTTGATTTCCATTCACTGAACATTTTGCATATAACTGCCAAATTGTGGTACTGCTAAGCTAAGGAAGGAAACCAACTTGGACTACTACTACAACTAGAATATGAATATTCTTGTATATTTTTATATTTATACTCTTTGGTCATGAATGCTAGCTGCTGATATTCATATTGTTTTATTAAGGTTGATTTTTCTTCCACAAGCACGTCGGAGGAGGAGAGTTTGCTTGACTCCCTTCTGGCAACGGTTGCTACTAAAGATGACTCTTCTACACACGAGTTCTTGGTCGCAAATAGTGAAAATGAGCATTGTAAAAAGTTGCTGTCAATGTGGAGTGGGTGAGTCTCGTACTTTGTTCCTCCTATTCTCCCTCAAGTTTCCTATTGTTACATTATTCTTGAAGAAAATTCTCCTTTGTCAAGTTAAATTATCCTCTTGTGCCATTTACATGTTAAAAGCCTGATTTATCATTTGGATTTTATAGATTCAAACAATCAACTCAGAGAGTTTTGTCTCTTGTCGCTGAACTGACCTCTCTAGAAAAGGATAAAGAGCATCTAAGGATTAACCTTGACAGAGCTGAAGAGGAGGTGAGGATTACTGATCCTTGTATTGTCTGACTTTTCCAGTTTTTGGATTATAATGCAATGAATGACTTGTCTTGGTAAAACCATAGGGAAAATTACTATTTGTTGAAAATGGCATATTGGAAAAGGAGAACAAAAGGCTATTGATGAAACTTTCCCATAGTGCATCTGCCAAGGTGAGAATCGTTGGGGCATGTTGAATTCCCATTAATTTCATTTAAATTCTCTCCTTTAGCTAAGGAGACTCATCAGCAATTGGTTTGACTTTTGTAGTCGAGCAAGAGAAAGTCAAGTCCCAAAACAAGTAGCCCGATGAGGAAAAAGATTGATTTCGATGATCTAGATTCCGTTTCTTCTCGACAACCGTTGTCACCCTTGCAATGTAACTCGTCTGACTGTGTCACTGCTGTCTAGATTCAACTTCCCCGAAATAGATAACCATTAGGATGATTGATTTGGTGACCTTTCAAAGTGATCTATTGATCTCTTTACAAAGATAACAGAAAAAATGTTTTTGATGACTTTATGTACCAATTATTTCTGGAAATAGATCCTCTCCAGCGTTTTTGCATTATTTCTTGATAGTTGTGTGTATATGTAGTTTGACACAGTTAACATTTTCTTTATGTGCCTGAAATATCTCGATGTTGTTTGTGCATATAGGGTATGGTTTTACTAGTAAAGATTCGTTTTTCAAAAGAAGAAATGGAAAAATTCATTACTTGATTTTACGAGTAAAGATTCATTTCTCAAAAGAGAAATGCAAAAACTCATTACTGTATAATTAAATGTTCGGTAAAAAAGTGTATGATTAAAATATATTCAATAACATTGCACTTTATAAAAAAAATACTTATTTCAAAAACATTATTGTATAAAAAAGATTGACACTTTAGATAATATAATCGTTATCAAATTACAAACAGATTAAAAAGTGAATATATTTTTTTAAACACTAAAGTTTGAATGTTGTACTTTACCCGGGAAAAAGTTTGAATGTAGTGATTATGTAGAGACAATATATTTAATGATATTGATTGACCATTGATACCCCAAAATCATATAATAATAGATCTTGTTAATACAGAATTAACAAAAGTTGTAATTGTTAAATAGAAAATTTTGACGTAGATTAATTAACATATTCTTAAGAAACAAAATTGTTACATTGAAAATCTTAATCTAAATTTGAACTTAAAATTTCATAATTTTTTTTTGTAAAATATTTTCATTTTCATTTTTATAAGTTAAAATAATCGGTTATAAGTTTATAGAAATTCAAAGTGAATACATTTTTTTAAAGACTAAAAAGTTGGAAGGGTTTTGTAGAAACTAAGCATATATTTCATCATATTTAAGACGTTAATTGAGCATTAATATATCAAAATCAATTACCTTTCTATATTGAATTAAATATTCGTACACAAATATTAAATAATTCTCTTTTGAAAATAAATTTATAAATTTATACAAATAATTAACAAAATTAATTCAATCAACTTTCTTAATTTCTCTAATTTACTTTAGAGATCTTACATTTAGAGATGAAGATCTCAATTCTTGTTGATTCATACTTCTAACATGTTGAGGTGTTTGAATGCTCATCTTTAGGTCATAAACTTTGTTCATTGCTTGTTGAGATTTGCATTTTTTTAGGCTTTCCACTTGAAGTTCAAGTATTGAATATGCTTGAGACTTAGGTCTTTCTCCATACCTATGCTTGCATTCTCCTTTGTGCTTTTTCTTATTTGCTTTGTGCACTTTCTCCTCTCATCTTTGTTTCTGTCCCATGACCTTAGAGTCCCATTTGAGATGGTTTAGTCCCTCCTTTGGAAGTGCTTGACGCATATCATGAATGGTGATTCTTTGAGGACTCTTTTGATGTGTTCTTGCATGATCATTGAGATGGCTTATGGTTGAGTTGCCCATTTGAGTTCCTTTCTGTCCTCACCTTGCCTCCTATTTTCTCATTTGATCATGGCTTCTTCTCTTTCCTTTTGGTTTGCCTTTGGGCTTGTGGTTGATGACAAATGGTTGTAGGACTTGTTCTCCCATTTCATCCCACTTTTGTGTGCTTGTTTGATCTCCTTTGTGTGCATTCTTTCTTCCTTCTTCTTTGCATCTCTCATATGCATGTTTGAGGTTGAGATGTGCTTGTGGAGGCTACTGCCCCACACTTCTTTTCCTCCTTCACTTTCATTCTAATTGTGCATTACATGTTTGCATACTTGCACCTTTCTTATTTCATGCTTCCATCTTCTTCTTCTTTCTTCTTTGCCATGTTCCCTTAGGACCTCTAATCTTCCTTGTTCAAGGTTGATTATGATAGACCTTAGGCTTGAACCCATCCATGATAACATTAGGTAGAATTCCCTTTTTATCTCAATCATAGGTGCACTTTGTATGAGAACTTTAGGTTGAGTCTTATCTCCCTTTAGAGTGTCTCTCTCTTCTCCTCTTTAAATTCTCTTAAAACACTTAATAAAGGTTAATGAATCTTGTACGTTACGAGCCTTAAGTACTTAGGAAATGGTGATTGGGGGGCTTCCTCTCAATTGCTTAGAGTGTTTAGTGTACGTCCTTAGGACGATATGCGACGCATTCGCTCCTAAGTCATAGTCTTTAGTGCAACATGAATTACAAACAACAAGCAATGCACTTCTTCTCTGAAAAACACAAAAACAAACTTCAAATCTTTTTATCCTTCGGGATCTTAATTTAGAAACTTTTTTCATAAAGAGATTTTTGTTAACTCTTGGTTCTACTGCAAACGGGTAACGCCTAAGTCTCCAACGGTCGAGCTGCATACACCTAACTACTAGAACTAGGTTTTAACCCTACTCAGGCCTAAAACATTTTGAACCAACCGGTGTTCTTGTTAGCTCGAACTACGTTTGCTCTGATTTCTCATACCAGATGAGAATACGTAGGCACAAGACGAAGATGTCTTGGCGACCAACCTTCCCCACCTTTCACCCGTAGTTAGCCGAACTACGTCGACTCTGACTTTCCCATTGCACGAGGGAATACGTAGGCATAGAGCGGCGATGCTCTACCGAGTCTCTTTTCTTTTCTTTTGTCCCTGAGTTGTAGCTTAGATAGTAAACACCCTTTTATATAGACAACAAAGCGTGGATCCCGTCGAGTACGATGGACGTGAGGGGTGCTAACACCTTCCCCTTGCGTAACCGACTCCCGAACCCGAGATATGGTTGCAGTGGCCTGTCTTCTCCCATTTTCGTTAGGTTTTCTATGATCGTTTCCTTTCCTTCTTTTGGGATAAATAACAAACGGTGGCGACTCTTCTGTCCTTGCCGGCCCCTCTTCGCATCAATGCGACAACTGGCGACTTTGCTAGGGACAGTAATATCCCTTATGCGAGTCAATCCTAGCGCTCGGTTGTTTATTTTTTGGGTGTTGTATATATGTGTTGTACTTTACTTTCTCGCATTTACTTTCAGCATTGTATATATCAGTTTTGTTGTGCTGTTGGGGGGAATGTTCCATTGAGAGATAAGCCGGACTCGGGCTTGAGTACAAACATAGCATTAGTAGTGGAAAGTAGTGGTAAACCTGTATGCCTAGCATGCACAAGTTCCCATGAAATTCGCGCTCAGACGAGATTCTCTTTGATGAGTTCCTTTCCAGTCCTTAGAACTTGAGGGGATCTTGGATCTGAGGATTGTCGACTCTGGGGACCGATCCTTTGTGATTCAGCTAAGTGAGACCTATTCGGGAGATTATGATGCCAAACCAGAAATGGTGAACGTATCATCGTTTCTTGAAAGTCTGTGACGCTGATGAACGCATAGGAGGTCGAACCTTATTAGTGGATAGGTCCATACCTGTGAGAGGGATTGGGTTATGCAGGAAACTTTGACTTTCAAACTACACGGTTTTCTTTGTAGTGTGAATTTGTGTTCCTGATACAAGGGATTCCTACCAGTGACAATGCTATGTTCTTGTCAAAGCGGAGCGCTGGTTCTTCTCAATCAACAACACATCAATCTTGATCCCCTGTTTGCATTTGCATGTGCATTTTCATTAACATGTATCTATGTTGCAGGTGCATATTTCCTCTTCGATTCTAGTGATCTTGTTCCCTTATTTCTGATATGGAGCCCTTGAAGAAGACAGTGGCATACAGGTTTCCAACTCCGGATATTGGTTCTTTACTGAGTTTGATTTCCATGGCTGACAAGAGAGTGATGGAAGACTTCAAGAAATCTTATGGGAAACTGTTGAGATGTGTCTGCAAGCCTTCAGTATATGAGATAGGTGGTCTTTACACTCTCCTGCAGTTCTATGATGCATAGCTGAGGTGTTTTGTTTTTCCGAATTATGTTCTGGCGCCTACCTTAGAGGAGTATTCTGAGCTGTTGGGTGTTCCTAGCTTAGACCGGATGCCATTCTATCACACTAGTGCTGAGCCCGATCTGGCTAAACTTGATGCTGCTCTGCATTTGGATGTTTCAGAGTTGGAAGGGAAGTTGATCATGAGAAGTGGGATGCCTGGTTTTCCTTTACCTTTTCTGATTGATAAGGCTCAGCAGTAAGCGGAAGATGGTTATTGGTTCGTGTTTAGTGTCATCTTAGCTCTTTGTATCTATGGTATCATATTGTTTCCTAACCTTCCGGATTTTGTAGACATAGATGCTTTCTACATTTTCGCTTCAGGGAATCCGGTACCTACGCTTTTGGGTGACGTCTATCATTCTATTCACCACAAAAATGAGAACTGGAGGGGAAAGAATGTATCTTGTTGTATTCCTTTGTTGTGCAGGTGGTTTGCTAGTCATCTTCCTAAGACAGGTTCATTTGTTGATACTGCTGGTACTTCAGAATGGTCAAAAAGGTTGATGGGATTGTCTGCAGAGAACATTATCTAGTTTGACAGAGACCTACTTGGTACAAAGATTGTTTATAGTTGTGGTGGATTTCCTAATGTCCTGTTGGTCGGAAGGAAATGGTGCATCAAATATAACCCATCTTTGTTAGTTAGTCAGTTTGGATACGCGCTGAGAGGACCTCCTAAGGAAGAGGAGATACAGGAATCTCTGTATCTCACTGGATTGCCGGAGGGTGATACTTTGGCTAGAGTGGAGAGAGCTTGGAATAGTGTTCACAGGAAAGGGAAGGATTTTCTGGGGAAAAGTAACAGTAGGGCCTACGACCCTTATCTGGCCTGGATTCGTGAAAGAGCTACCAAGTTTATGATGCCTTTTCCTTTTGTTAAGCCTTTATATCCTCTTATGATTGAGAAACCTACCACTGTGGATATCCAGAAGTACAACCAGTTGTGGTCTGAGAAAGAAGAGCTACGCAAGGCTAATGAAGAGTTAGAGAAAGAGATCATTCAGCTCCGGAGTGAGAAGATTGAAGTTGTGCACTCTTTTAAGAGGAAGACTGAGCTT